GTGTGTGTGTGTGTGTGTGTGTGTGTGTGTGTGTGTGTGTGTGTGTGTGTGCGTGCGTGCGTGCGTGCGTGCGTGCGTGCGTGCGTGCGTGCGTGCGTGCGTGCGTGCGTGCGTGCGTGCGTGTGTGTGTGTGTGTGTGTGTGTGTGTGTGTGTGCGTGCGTGCGTGTGTGTGTGTGTATGTGAGTTGTTGTTGTTAAATGGTCTCAAAATGTGCATTTTCGGTCCTTTGATTTTTCAGTTAAGGGATAATTCTGCAATGCGGGCTACAGAGCTCCTTCTGGGATAAGGTGGAATAAAAATTTCCATTATAATTATTATCAGTCTTCTTCTTCCTCTTCTATTATTTTTTTTATTTTGTTTATTTCTTCTTTTTTAAAATTATTATTATCATTATTATTCATGCAGTCTCAGAACTCTGAACATGCAGTCCCAAAGTACCTCACAAGACCGTCATTATTCCCAAAGTTTGCGGTCTGATCTTGCAGTTGACTCACTGTTAACATCTCCAGATGTGGTTGACCAACACCTGAAGGATAAGAAAATAAAAGAACTGCACATATGAATCTTTGCATTACCTTAGAAAAAGTAATATTAATAAAATAATGAAAATAATAGTATTATTACTATTATTAATATTAATAATAATAATAATAATAATCGCATTTATATAGTACATTTCCATACTCTACAGCATGTTCTATGCGTATCACAACTATCATTACTCAGGCAACACCTAAAATATTCAAACATATTCTTGGCTTCCTGAGAAGCATGCAGTCCAAGCTGGCATTTTACAGGTGCTAAAACACTAACAAACAGATCAGATCTTTAGACAGTAATAGTTAGATTCCCATTTCCAGATTGAATGAAGTGAGGATTATTCGTGTGAATTGTCTTTCCCAAGGACACACCAGCAGCCTAAGGGCCTGACACGACAGGCTTCGAACCCATGATTTTTCGGTTATGAGCCCAACAGCAACGGCACTTAACAACTAGACCACAGTAAGCCTTGAGCTTTGAATACCACAGTAACATGTTCATACATGATGATGCACACATGTAACCAAGCTACCCATGGCCCCAAGGGAAAGATATGCTCCCCCCCCCCCCCTGCCGCTGTGGCACCTGTGGGGCACCCTACATGAGATGGATACTGACACAAAGCTGAAGAACAAAAAATGCAAACAAAAATCTGTTGTAATTGAAAGCTTTGGCACCTCCCATTTACACAACCCAAATCATTCAGGAGGTGGGCTGCTTTAACCTGATTGTTAGGGCCAGCCCGGGCTGAGAGCGACACAAGGGCCCAGTAGACAGAGGCAGCATTCTTCGGGGGGGGGGGGGGGGGGGGGGGACATTTACCCAGCAGAAAACAAACTCACATCTTCTGCAGGAGATGGGAAAGAGCCGAGCAATTACATCACAGACTCGACTAGTACAAGTGCACACACAGAACAGTTTTACTTTCTTGATGGTTAATTGCCATGTTATTTGTTCATGCCTTTTCTAAGAGGTGAACCACATTACGGGGAGCCAGCAGAGATGCATACAGTGGATTCGTCTTAAACCAAAATCTGTGGGACCGCCCAGTTCTCTTCCGTTTAGCCATGTTTTTGGTAGTTTAGTAAGAGTTTTACAGCGCTCGCAACTGCATAAGGTCATATGAGCACTCGAAACACGAGTTGGTTGCATTCTCGACAGTTCCTAGTACAGCCTTAGTTTGGTCAAAGATCAAATTTAAAAATTTTAAAAATCATGGTAAAACATCATAATTAATCTAAAATTGAAAATTCACGTAATATCAAAATAGAGGTAGATTACATTTTGTTGTAAAAACTAATGGCCTTTAAAGCCCCGGTTACACGCAACGATAAAATGTATCAGATTTGTCATATGCGAGAACTGTCCGTTTTATCGAACTGTGTTGTCTGTTTACACGTTCCAATCTATCCTCCAGTTCTCTTTCGATCGAGGAGATTCCTCGTCATTAAGCCACCATGTCTCTTTGCGACGACAGCGATTTGCCTGCCCTCTATGTGAAGGTTTCGAGCTCGGGACCTAATGAAAGAAAAGCAACCACTGTACCTCTAGATCACAAGAGCTTCACCCCCTCCCCTGTACATTTTGAAGTAGCAGCAGAACAGTTCCTTTAGAAAAGGTGGCCAAGCAGTACCGAGTTCTGTGTAGAAAGAGAAGCTTTGACTTGACGGCATATATACAGTGGAAACCTGATATAACAGGGATGGTGGGAGTAGAGAAAATGTCCTGTTATATCCGATCCCTGTTAAATCAGTAATGCAAGGAAAGTAAGCATTTGTGGACTAATCCTGCTGTACTTATTCATGGGTAGTTGCCCTTGCCACAAGTACCCACGCACAGGGGTTTTGGCACCAACTTTCTCCTTAAACCACATCAGAAAAGCTTGGTCCACAGCATCTGCATTGGGTAGTCTCATCTTCTTTCGATCCAGAGCAAACTTTCCATTGGAGTATGCTGCCACTATTTTCTCTCTATCCTTGATAATGGTGTGAATCGACCTTTGTGGAAAGTCGAACTGACGACCAATCTCTGCCAGTCGAGCTTGCTTTTTGTCAACAGCCTGGATTATTTCGCATTTTTTTGTCAATTGAAAGGCATTTTCTCTTGCGCTTGACATTGTTGGTGACACATTACGCGCACGTGTTGCTAGGTTTCGGGCTAGATCGAGGTCTGCAGCATACCGCAGCCCTCTCTCGCTTCACAAGCTGCGTGTGCTTGCAGTGGCATGGCTCGTGTGGGCTTGCTCCATCACTGCGTTGCTCTCTCTCTCTCTCTCTCTCTCTCTCTCTTTTCACATTGTTAACGAGCCTTTGTCCCTGCTATAACCGGTTGGGCTCCGATGAGGCCCTGTTATTGCCGATAACTTTTAATAGAGACAAAGAGTAGGAAAAAAAGGGATTTAAAAAAAGGGATTTTAAAAATCCCTATTATTACCGGATCCCTGTTATTACCGGGCCTGTTATATATGGTTTCCACTATATGTGCAATGCACCAAGAGACCTTGGTGCACTTCACCATTGATGATCAATTAAATAAAATTACTAAAATTTACATAATTTCGCATCAAATCAGGTTCCCCGCGAGCTACTCTGCTTATTTTGAGACGCTGATTCCGAATACGAAATCAGTTTTAAGATGCGACAATTATTTTTAAAATTTTGCGCCCGAGGTTTAACCCTGTGCGGCGGCAAATTTCAAAGTGATTCTACGTCACAGCACGTCTACCATCAAATCTGAACGTGATCGCACGAAAAATATCAAAGCACGCCTGATTTCTTGACTGAGTCTTCAAGCCATCGTCCAATCTTAGTACAATTTAGTGGTTACACCTAACGATTTATCGTATGATCGCTAGATCGTCCAGTTTTAGTACAATTTATCATAACGTGATAACGTGTAACCGGGCCATAAAAGTAAAAGAATAAAATGAAACCTAATCTTTAAAACCCCAACAGAGCAACCTTTTCTCCACACTGGTTGAAAATTACTCTTACTCTTTCTTTTTTAACTCATCCCAAATGGGGTTTCACCTGAATAAGAAACTATAAACTGGGCCCATATGGGATGCATGCACAGAAAAAAATGTCTTGAGGATAAAGACAGAAAATGGTACCTGAAGGTGGTGGCGGTGGTGGTGGTGGCTCAGGCTGCAGTGTCTTTGAAAATTTTGCTGCAGCCTTGTGTGCCATTTGCGCTTCTCTCAGCTTCTTCATTTTCGAACGTAGCTTTAGCTTCCAACTTTTTAGTCTCCTCTGCTTACTTCCCATTGTGAGTAAGATATATTTAAAAAGTTTCTATTAAAAAAGTTCTGTAGAAAGAAAAGAAAAAAAAGAAAATTAACTCTACTAATTACAAGACATTTCTTCTATGATTTGATATAAAGAATTTTATTGTGCGATTTACCTTAAAATAAATCCTGCTCATATCCTGAGTTCAGGTCCATTCTGTACCAATTAATACATAGCCATGAGTGACTTTTTCTGAGCAAAGAGCTCTCAGAAACAAGGAAAATGTGGAATCTTAAGTGAACAAGATCTTAGCGGAATCATTAGAGGGCTGAATCCATGTTGGCTCAGAGTCACGTCCACAATCTATTAGGTGACCTCCTCTTACTCTGAAATGAACTGACATGACCCCTGCGGTCTGCAGGTTTATAATTATGGTGAGCGATTAACCTTTTTATATGGTCTTTTCTTGGTCCAGTGAGGCATGCCATTTTAACTTGTATTTTATCCAATCCTATGTCTCAAAGCTACGCCGATCCCATCGCGCGCCCCCTTAACCTGTATAGCGGAACTCGGATTCACAGACATCGTGTTAATAATTATAGGCATCCAGCAAGTAATGTATAAATATAATGTATTCGACTTTCTCATTCAAAAGTAATTCGGTTTCAAATGAGAGGCATTTTCATTTCTTTTATGCCAGAAAATTCCAGGAAAATACACTGAACTTCACCAGTGAGCAAAAGGGCCGATTTGCTCAAATGCACGCCTTGATCATCTATCATCTATAACGTATTGTTTGCCAAACAAGTTATGTTGTTGTGTATAGCCTAGCATACCACAACGTTTGATTTCACAATCTAGGGCGCAATTCTAATTCATTATATGTAAATCTATGTCAAGACTAGCTTATCATTTTAATAGTGATCAGTAGCCAGGGGACAGTGACGCGTTTGTAGCAACTGATGTTCCACGCCTGGACCGCTTTTTATGCCACCCCCCC